AATAATGTTTATGCTGCCAATAGACTGCCCATGTACACCCAAGTGCCAACGTATATATTATGCAATTTGGATACAGATGATAAACCAGGGTCACATTGGGTAGCTTCTGCACATCTCCGGAACCGTGCATCATATGCAAAAACGGACCACAGATTCGTGATCAGAGCATGCCAAAACCTTATTTTTTTTAGCATCGTGAGTCTCGACGAACGTTGTACCATTTCTGAATCAGTGAGCCAGAACTGGTACTAACTAACTACTATTATACGTTTTCATTAAATACTAATATTTATATTGTATTAAATCATATATATATATAAATAAATATTTGTTTGTTCGTGTTTCATGCGCTGCCATACCGTTCATTCAGATTGTGGTTAATAAACATTGTCAACATATTGCTTGCACTTCCGCGAAGTTTTTACGCATAGGTGGAACTGGTAGGTGGCGCTGCTGTAGAATCTAGATATCACCCGCGCGAAGCAGGATCAGATCGCGAGCGAGCTAGTGAGTTATAAATATGTATTTTTTTATTTGTCTACAGAAAAAATTGGATGCCATCTTACCTATGTCTAATAATATATAGAAAACGAAAGCTTAAATTTATAGTTTCACTAGCTGTTACCCGCGGCTTCGCCCGCATGGTCACTGGGAAATGAACTATCCATTGCCTTTTGAATTAAAAGAAAACTGAGTTTAATAGATTTGTCAGAGATGCAGCCATTAAAAGGAAACTGAGCAAAATTGATTCGTCAGCCTATTTAAATGTTTTGAAACGCAGCGTATAGGAAAACATGAAAATAGCCTGTTTATTCCAAATGAAAATGGGATATTTTATAATTAAAGGAAACTGAGCATAATTATCCGTGAGGGATGCTAACTTTTGAAAAGAAGCTAAGCTAAATTGATTCGTCAGAGATGCAGTTTTCTGAATTGAAAGGAAACTGAGCCAAATAAAAGATTCCTCAGAGATGCAGCCTTTTGAGTTGAAAGGAAACTCAGCTTAATAGGTCCGTCAGAGGTGCAGCACTTGGAATTGAAAAGAAACTGAGCTAAATAGGAAATTTTGAATTGAAAGGGAATATCTGTGGGAATTTCTGATTAATCGATTGTGGGAATTTTGGAAAAAAAACTAACTGAACACTATTTTAAGACGCTACTGTACACAATGTTATATGTTTTCCCATTCGGGGAAAGAATGTGGAGATTCTGGGCATTTGACACACGCGAACATGCTACATACAGTTGACCATGAGAGAAGCATGGTTTTTCTAAGTTGACCCCCGCTACCTGTAACGTTTTCCCTTGCGCTTTATTAATTGTAATTGCAAAACTGAGCTCAATTGGGAACTGCAACCTTTTGAATTGAAAAGGAAGATCTGTGAGAATTATAGGGATCCGTGGTATAATAATATTTTCACCTTTTTCTACGCCTGTCAATATTGTAGCACCGATAATATTGCGTACAAGATGTGTCACACGCAGCCTTGTCCCGTTACATAACGGAGGAGCATCTAAATTTTTTATTCAATATTGTAATTTCGTCCCACACTAAAAGTTTGCATTGTCGTAGCATTACACCTCATGCACTATTTTTGCTAAAATTGCAGATCAGCGATTCTTCCTGGGCTAGATTTAGTGGGAGTTTTAAAACAGAATGTGCAGTGCGGCCTTTGTCAAAAACTCGTTTTTGTTCATGAAGCAAGCGGGGTACAAATTCGGCTACTTGCTGCTACAAAGATGGTATATCGTAGTTTGTTTCACGTATAATTTCATCACTTAGTTCATTTTCGGTTATTCGCTGAGCTTATCATTCCAAAGTCGCTTAATTTTTTGCCTACCATTGCCATTACTTTATCTTCAATTTTTCCAAGTGCTTCATTATAAATGTGTTCATTATATGTCATGTTCGTGTGTGTCTGCTGTAACCTTCGCAAAATATATTCCCTCATGTACTCTTTATATTTGTCCCACAATTCATATGCATTAGATAGCCCGCAATATGATATGAGAGTTGCATAAAGATCCCTAATTTTGGCTGGTGACTGGCACTGCACAGCTTCCTCCATGGTTTCATCCTAGTGATTATCGTTTTCTAAAAGATGCAGAGCTTCACATGCTTCTCTATAAGTTGCGCATTCCTGACCATTGACAGTTTTAAGGTCTTTATATCCTGTAGGACCTCGAACATGGTGCAGCAGAAATCGTAAACAGAAACATTCAAAATTAGTTACATGGACGGTATACACACGACCAAGGGCATCTGATGACTTTACACTGGGCCAATTTGCAACAGGTGCGCCTTGAATACGGCATTTCCACTCCTTTCTAGATATGTTCCAAGTATAATAGCGGGGGACTTCAGAATATAACAACGTTTTTGCAAAGGGGTCGGTTTGACAAAGTTGAAAGAAGGCTGTTAGTGTAGTTTTTGTCGGTGATGCAATTCTTTCTTGGAAATTTCTTTCGGTGAAATATACACGCTCTCCATTTTCTAAGTGCACAGCAAGGTGAGTAACTGTTGGGTGCCTTTCGTGTAAAGGGAGGCCAAGGAGACGCCACGCTGCCTCGTTACTGCTGACATAACGCCCTGCTTGAAAGGTCTGCACTTCACCAACGGGGTTTGCCTCACCTTCACTCCTGAGATTAAATATTGCTTGGTCGCTTCCTTTATTTATGTACTTACAGATATACTTGATTGCGCGGACAGAGCTACTTGCTTCTACATTAATGTAAGCACTAAACATTTTACATAGAATGAGCGAATACGGGACAATCCAGCTGTTATCTAAGGTTTCGAACTCTCCAGAGCGAGATTTGATTGTAACTTTCCTGCCACCATCTTCGGAAGCTCTGCGTCTGTATAAAGGGTAGCCATTGTCGTTGTGCACTGTTTCTTTTAATAGGTGCTTAGGGAATTTCTTTGTACATTTTCCTTCCTTCATACATGACGATATTGAATATCGTGCTCCACATGGACCGTGAATCATATTTTGGACGATGGTATCATACGATTCTTTATCTTGCTCAGGATCCGGAATCTCGGCGCTAATTTTGTCATCTATTTGGTGGACCGCAACTTCTCCTTAAGCCATATCAGAATGTGGACATGCGGTAATCCTCTTTTTTGCCATTCAATTGAATACATGAAGCACTGCACCTCTCCGAAAATTTTCCCTTTGTTAATTACATACATTAATTTTTGTACTTTTAATCTAAATACTCTAGCAACTAAATCGTGTCTGTCAGTACTTTTTTGGCCCAGCATTAGCTCCTCGGTTATTTCTTTCCATGTGGGATTGCAAGTAAAAGTAACAAAAAGTTCAGGTCTTCCGTAAGTTCGTACATAGACGGATATTCGTATATAGATATACGGGGACTGTTAAGGAATGATGAGGGCAGAATTACCGTTTTACCTAAATATATGGGGTTTACATTGGCGTCGCTATAAACTGCATCTTGTAAGTGTATATAATTGTCAACGCGCAGCTTTTTTGATTTAAAGATATACAACGAAGACGTTCACTTTCTACCTTCACATACATGTCTACCAAAAATTGATGAAATAATTGTCTACACCGGGCTAAGAGGTTAAAATCATTTTCTCGCAACATCATATGATACGCATAAAAATCCATATATGATACTTTTTTGTTCGGAGTAAGCTCCTTTGTGACCGGGTTATTGAGTGGACTTTGAAAATGATAACCCTCTTGTCCTTTGCAATAAATCAATGGGTATTGCAGAGCGTCATAAAACTTGTGTGTATCGGCTACCCGTTGCAACGTATCATCATGTGCTCGCAAGACGCTCTGCCTGTTCAAGACGCCTTTGCTGACTTTGATCAGGTGTTTCAGTAGCTTTTAAAGTAGCTTGACTCTCTGCCTGTTCAAGACGTCTTTGCTGACTTTGAGCAGGTGTTTCAGTAGCTTTTAAAGTAGCTTGACGCTCTGCCTGTTAACACGTTCGCTGCGGCAACTATTTGAGACATTATTCCCCCCAGTGCGTTACCAGGTCTTATACCTAAAATTTTCACCGGTGCGTCAATGGGTCAATAAACCTGGTAAGATATGGGTCACTTCAAACTCTAATAACTCTGCGAAAACTTTTGATATTGAATATTTTTTTTAACTAGGTTATTGAGAAAATGTAAGCCTATCTTATACTAGCGTCGCAAATTGCTCCGATGGCTAATTTAGAAAATATACAGAAAAACAAACATAAGGTTTATCGACCCATTACCGCACCTAGGTAATGGTATAATTGGGATAATTTTAGTGATGGGAAATAACATAAGTACAGAAATATCGAGATCAACTTTATTTTATTATTAACTGTTATCTGTTATAGATGATTTTCGTAAAAACATTTAGCGCAATATCCCTTGTTGCACTCAGCGCAATACGATTTAATTTTTTTGGTTTTTCTTTGAGCATCTTTGCTATTTAACGTTGCACGAAGCTTATTGTAACAACCCGCACAGTTTCTTCTTTTTATTCCTTTGGTTTCGAAGGTATGATTCGTCTTTGGCATAGCAGCACATTCATTAGCTGTAATAAAAGAAACAAATTAAATAATAAACCAAGAGAGGAAACGCCGTGTGAGATTGTTGCTATTTTAAAGCTAACTTTATCTTAAAACTTAACAACTAATAAAAACTAGCTTGCTCCGAGAAAAAAATATAAGGTTATTGTATCAGTATTAAATTACAGTTAAGTATTTTATTATCATTTTTAGTTATTTTTTTCTGACAGAATATCTTTACCTAGTGCTAAATATTACGGAAAAATATATTACCTGTTTCTGTTAATATCGGCACCTGAGTCTAAGCTTCAATAATTGCTTCCATAAAATTCTTCTTTGGCATTTGAACTGGTTTTCCGTGATTGTATAATACCCAGCTGTTTATTATGACTGTTCCAAATAATATCTCCATCATTACTTTTCTAAACCATTTCACGCCTCTTTTCAAGCTAGAATAATATGAGGACATTTGGTCGTTAAAATCGATGCCTTTTTTTATTCTCATTGTATGTTATGACGCATTGTGGTTTTTTAATTATGTTTCCAGTGATTCGGTTCGTCTTACCTGAAAATGAGATAAATACAAGTTAAAATATTGGTAGATACAGTGTATTTATAAATTTATTCAAATTAAATTTCTCAAAATTTGTAGATTTTATCGCGGGCGGATACTAGTTTATTTATAAAAAATACTCCTAATTTCTCAAATTTTTACCTAGTTATATTTTGTTTTTATTTTTGCGTCATATGTATTTTTAATTTTTTCATTTAAATAATTATGTAAATAGCTAGTTATAATGCTTTAGTGCCAACTGTAATGTTACTTCTATAAATAAATAAAACAGAAAAAATGAACTAACATCCTTGTCTAAAATGACACATATGTAATACGTACCTGTAGATTTAAGAGTCAAATTGTGATTTCGGCACGTAGAAATCATATGAACCGGTCTCTTATCTGTCCACTTTATAACTCTTACCCCATTTGGGTTCATTTTTCCTACTATTTGACCTCGTTTCAATTTTATGGATATTATTTTCTTAGGATTTCCTTTCCGATTTGGTCTCAGAGTACCACACATGAAGGTCTTTTTACGTATAAGTTCTTCCGCAAGATCAATGGAATTGTAGAAATTATCTGTTATTTTTATTCTTCCATTATTTTCTAATCCTTTTATTAATCTTAATACTGTTTCCTTTCCATGATTAGTTTCTCGACCATTATCTCCTTTACCTGTATATATAATACAGTTTCTTGTGTATCCTTCTGGAGTGCAGAGCTTATATAGTTTCACTCCATATTTGTGTGACTTGTTTTTAATGTATTGGCGAAATTTCAACCTCCCTCGCCACGGAATCATACTTTCATCTATGATAAGATACCGACCTGGCTCCAAAAGGGTTTGCATTTTTTCTAAAATCTTATTAAAAGTATCCCTTATCTTTTTCAATTTGTCTGTGTCGTTAGGTGACTCTTGACTAAAATGCCAAAATTTCAAAATTAGCAGAAATCGATCTCTTGTCATAACTGAACTAATGTATTTATTATTGTAGATGTTTCTTTTCGACCAGTAATCATTTAAACGTGGTATTCTTACAAGACCCATCGCCAGTAGCACTCCTAAAAATTTTTTCATCTCCTCTGGAGTTGTAGGAGTCCAGGCTCGCAAGCGTGATTTAGGCTTAAGATTACTTAGATTACGATCTTATTATCTTGTGCGTAATTGTTTGTGTTTATTACCATTTGCTCAATAATTTCATCCGTTACAAATAGACTGTAAAAATCTGCTGGCGTTATAGTATTATCCGGAATGTTTGGTCTACAATTATCTGTGAATTCATCGAAATCAGGTTTCGTATCGTTAATGTCTTCCCACTCGTCAAAATTATTGTTTTCTGTACATTGAGTATTTTCAAGTATTTGAACTAATTCGGTTTCAGAACTGTTTTCATAGTAAGTTATTACGCTATCATCACCATCACTATCGTCGGAGTAAGAAGAATCAGTTTCTAGGTCAGACGAGTTGGGAGCATAACTATCATCAGATGAATCGGGTTCAAAATCTTTAGCAGAATTTGCAGGAATATTCAAATATGTTAATGAACTTTGTTCATTTTGCGTTTGAGTGTCATATATTTCACAGATTTTCTCGGAAGGGTTGGGAGTACAATTGTTATTAGATGCATCTGGATTTAAATCTTTACCATAAATTGTAGAAATATTCAAATTTGTCAATGAACTTTGATTATTCTGCGTTTGGGTGTCATATATTGCACAGATTTCCTCGTTGGATAGTGGGCATAATAAGGATTTTGCACATGAAATGTCACTAATTGAACTAGTCCTGCTTGTAAGATTTGATACGTTCGGAGTTACTGGGGTTTATTTTCGTAAATTATAATATTTGCGGATAGGAGTTGCAAGTCCGTATTCAGCGTTTTCCAGTACATGAAGAGTATTGCCTGTACTAGGACTAACATAAACATCGTTTTCTGATTTTTGTATTTTCTTTCTTTTAGGCGTAAAGTCTAAATAAGTCTTTCTAACTCGAGGACTTACCCGCATTGAGATATCGTGTAAAGTTGAACTGAAGCTAGGTTCTTGAAAAGCAATAGATGAATTGCAGCGAGGTTCTTGAAAAGTTGTAGTTTCACTGCTTGTAGAAGCTGGCTTAACAATAACATCCTGAAGGATTTGAATTTGTTTTTTTTTCTTGTAAACTGGCACTGTTATTTTGGTCCACCACTTCTTGTGCATTTTGAAAAGACAGCTCGAGCATTTTTCGACAACGTTTATTGACTCGATGCATTTTTTATGAATCGTACGCACATGCATTTGTAAAAGCTGTCAACACAACACTAATTGATTTTGACTCTTCAATCAGTGCGGTATTAGGCAGATAGGCATTGTACTTCCCATAAGGCCTATGGGCCTTGCATCCGCACTGAATGTCAATTTTTATTCTCCAGTGCGGTATAAGGTCGATAGGCCTTTATTATTTAAATGAATAGCCATTGAAAAGACGATCTTAAATATATACTTGTCTTTATCACTTATAGAGAAATCTTTAAGTTACTGCGTTCGCACCAGAGGGAGAACGCTGTATTTTCGCTCCGCACCGACTGCAAGTTCATGTATCAGGCCTATAAGCCTTGTGCCGCAGCGAACGTGTTAAAGACGCCTTCGCTGACTTTGAGAAGGTGTTTCAGAAACTCTTAAAGTAGCTTGACGCTCTCTCTATCAAGACGCCTTTCCTGACTTTGAGAAGGTGTTTTGGAAGCTCTTAAAGCAGCCTGACGCTCTGTCTGTTTAAGACGCCTTTGCTGACGTTGATAAGGTGTCTCAGATGCTCTAAAAGCAGCCTGATGCTCTGCTTGTTCTTGCCTTCTCAGTTCAGCATCTTCTAAAGATTCTAGCGATCGAGCTAATCTTTTCGCTTGTATTTGAGAAGATACTCTTGAAAGACTGGACTTACGTTTGCGAGGCATTATGAAGAAACAAAAAAATCTATTTATAAAAAAACGTTAAAATACCTAAAAGGAATTAAATTTCCTTTTAAATATTTTTTTAAAAGCAAATCCAAAATATCTAAAAGGAATAAATATTCTTTTTAAATATTTTTTAAAATCAAAATAACAAAACCAATTCAAGACACAACACGAATCCGAAAACGATAGCCAAAAAAATCGAATCAACTTAAACCAAATCACAAAACAAATCGCAGAAAACCGAAATCGAAAGCAGTAGCCAATATAAATATAACCAAAATGTAAGTCTTAATATGTATGTCTAAATATATACATGTCTAAATATGTAATACCAACCAACTCAACAAAACCGATCCAATAAAATACACAAATCCAAAAATGAAAGCCAATATAAATCCATTCAACCTTAACAAAATCACAAAGCAAATAACAAACAACCGTAATCGAAAGCAGGTAGTCGAATAAGCTTACCAATAGAAACAATCTAAGCGTATAGGTACCGTATGTACTGTAAGTTGACGCGCGGCTCAACGGCGTTAACTCCCGCCACAGCATACACGTCAGGAAACAATTCGTTGCCGCGTTTTAGAAACCTAGTAACGACATCTAGTGGAATAAACTATGTATACGTTAGTTAATAAGAACTCTCAAAAAATATTTTTCTTACAATTTTGCACAATTTTTCTTATTGTAATACCGATTCATTCATAACCACATATAAGAACTGTATTCATTTCCGTTCAATAAACATTACTAAGGCTTATTATAAATTAATAAGGCTTACTAAGAACTGTTTCTACCACAGGTAAGTAATAGTTTAGGGTGAAAGCGTGACAGGTGGTGATAGTATTTCTGATCCATACTTATAATCACGCCTGTAACCCTTGCGGGGTAGGCAGATCATCAACGGATTACTTATTATCGTCTGCGAGGTTATCGTCTATTCTGTGAATTACAATGTACCAAAACGTTTGAAGAAAATCAGCTGGTAAATTTTATGTTTTTTTTCGCTCTCTTCCCGGTCCTGCGTGGAAAAATACAGATTCATACATTTTTTATCTTAATTTTGGTAAAAAGTCATAATATTCCAGATATTCTGATCTTCTGTGTTCGTCCATCGTACCGTCGTCCGTCTTGTAGAATCACGGTGGCGCCACCTATCTGAATTTAATTTTGCAACATATTCGATTTTCCCACGGGTATGAGATGTTTTTCCGCGGAAAAAGTAACCTACGTCACTCTACAGCCACCGAAGTATCCCTATACAAAAAATCATGCCATGCCGACGCTCTGTTGCGATGTGAAAGAAGGACAAACAAACAAACAAACAAACACACTTTCGCATTTATAATAATATATAATATAAATTTGAGACAATTTAATTGTATAAAAAATGTCCATGGCAGGATCCTCGACCTTGTTTTTTCTAGCGACGCTGTAACCGTTCGTGATTTAAGTGGGGATTCTCTTATTCCTGTTAATCCTTATCATGGTGCCCTTTTAATAACTTTTGATTACGTTGATTGTGATTCATTAAATAGCAATTCTCGCCTTAAGTTCCTATATCATAAAGGTGACTATTATTCATTAAATGGTGAGATTGCCAATATCCAATGGGGTGAAGTTATGTCTCCGTTATCCTTAGATGAATCTGTTCAATATTTTTATAGCACACTCACGTCACTTAGAGATAAATATATCCTCTCAAAATTAATTGTTGCTGACACTTATCCTAAATGGTATACAGCACCGCTTAAAAAAGTTATTAAAGGAAAACATATTTTTTTACGTAAATTTAGGATCTATGGCTGTAGGCATAACGATGAAACTTTTAAGCTATTTTGTGAACGTGTAGTGTAGGGAAATTAGAAAAGTTAGCATATCAATCTTACATAACCTCTGTGGAAAATTCGATTAGTGCAAATCCGAAACACTTCTAGTCGTATATTAAACAAAAATAAAAATCACATTCAATACCTTGTCTCAAATTTGAAGGTTCTGTAATGAACTCTGGGGAACTTATCTGTAATGCTTTTTCAAACTATTTTCGTTCAAATTGTTTGGTTTCGGGTGATAGTAATACTCAGCTGTTTAAAAATAATTATAATGATTCTCTAGTGTTGCCTCAGTCGAGTGTAGATATCACCTCAATTGATATAAACGAAAATACAGTCAAAACTTACTCAAAACGTTGGATTCAACGAAATCTGTCCCAATAATATTCCAGCTCCCTTTCTTATTAACTGTGCGCATACAATTTGTGTTCCTTTGACTATTTTGTTTAAAATGTCCCTTAGTACAGGTATTGTTCCTACTATCTGGAAGCGTGCATTTATCACGGCTGTCCATAAAAAGATTTCCAAGACCGAAGTTACCAATTATCGACCGATTTCCAAGTTATGTATTGTATCTAAAGCGTTCGAACGAATTATTTATAATCGGCCCTAAAGCATTCATTCAATCCGACTCAACATGGTTTTTTAAGAGGACGCTCTACTGTTTCAAATCTTGCGCTTTTTAATGCATTTTTGGCTGAGGCAATGGACAATCGCCACCATGTAGATGTCATTTATACCGATTATAGTAAAGCCTTTGACAGAATACATCATAATTTGCTATTGCTGAAACTGTCCAAGATCGGTATAAACGGCGATCTGCTTAGGTGGTTTACGTCTTATATAAATAATCGATCACAAGCTGTTGGCGTCAGCAACTACATATCAGGATGGGTAACTGTTCCAAGTGGGGTGCCACAGGGCTCACTGCTGGGTCCGTTATTATTTTTATCAATGACTACCTATTACCTGAAGAATGCTCGCTTATTATGTTTTGCCGATGATATGAAGCTATTTCTGAAAAAAAAAACATCAATTGAGGATGCTGATGCTCTACAAGAAAATCTGTCAAATCTGGAGCGTTATTTCCACCTAAACGTCCTTAGATTTGAACCCTTCTAAATGTAGCTTTATGTCCTATATTATATTTATATCCTATTTTATGTCTTATAGTCGGAAATATAAACCGATTGTCTTTAACTATAAATTGAAAGGTGAAAATCTTAAAAGGGATTCCATTGTTAGAGATTTCGGTGTTCTTCATGATTCCAAATTGATATTTGACGTTCACTTAGGAAGCATTATATTCAAATCTACGAAAGCTCTTGGATTTTTGATGCGTAGCTCTAGGGACTTCACTAAAGCTAAAACTCTAAAGATCCTATATTGTTCTCTTGTAAGAAGTAATTTGGAGTACGCATTTCAAATCTGGAACCCCAGGTATGCAACATATTACCCGACTTGAAAATATCCAAAGTAAGATTATGCGTTACCTCTGTTATAGAACAATGACTATCGCTATTCCTCAGATAATTACATTAGTTATTGTAAAAAACATCATCTTCTTCCTCTTGCTATGCGTTATGAGATTGCTGACCTCACTTTTCTGTTAAAAATAGCTTGGCTGTCTCAACTACATGTTAGCTGTCCTGCCAAACCTCTTGCACACAACAAAATTTTAAATCTCCCATTTTCATCTACAAATTATAGGCAAAATATATTTATATGGCGAGTGAGCAATAATTTCAATAAGCTAGCCCATGAGTTTGACTTCGATTTGTTTAACACTAGTGCTGCGTCAGCTAGACGCATACTTAACAATGCATTTTTTGGTAACTCTAAGTGAGATATTGATTCGTTGCTACACAACTATGATTTACTTTTGTATTTGTGTTTATTTTTC